TGTAGATTTCTACAAGACACAGTGAACTCAGAGAGTGAAGGAAGAGCATCTTTATAAAAGATAAACAACTTACAGAACATACTGCTCTTAGAAATTTTGTTACATTTGTGTAAAAACAACTTTACACTTTTAACGGATGAAGAACATCTTCTGTCTGACCTTAATGATCAGATGATTTTTATCAACCACACAATTTAATTTGGTGATTTGAGGAGGGGAATAATAGCAAAAAAATTTCAACGTGAAAAACAGATTAACAGATAATTAATATCTTATATGTCAGTGGTCTCGCAACATAATGATGACAAATTGTTCAACAAAAGAATGTTTTTATCATCTGATCGAAAACAATCAAAGTTACCACTGGATCTAGCTGATCAGATAACCATTAAAAGTTAATAAATCAACAGTAAGATCTTAAAATAAGACCAAATCAAAATAATCCAATAGATTAAAAGTCCATTAATAACACTAGTTCATCAGAAGAACTATACATTATACATAAAAGATAAACAACTCACAGAACATACTGCTCTTAGAAATGTTGTTACATTTGTGTAAAAACAACTTTACACTTTTAACGGATGAAGAACATCTTCTGTCTGACCTTAATGATCAGATGATTTTCAACAAGCACAAAATTGATGTTAGTGATTTGATGAGTGGAATATTATCAACACAAACTTTTTTAACATGAAAAACAGATTAACAGATCTATTAATGATAGAATATATTATAGGTCTGTGGTCCCAATAGCTGATGATGACAAATTGTTCAGCAAAAGAACGTCTATATCATCTGATCTAAAACAATCAAAGTTACCTCTGGATCACCCCACATTAAACAGTTATTAAAATTAGCTTATCAGATAGCCATTAAAAGTTAATGTATCAACAGTGAGATCTTAAAATAAGACCAAATCAAAATAATCCAATAGATTAAAAGTCCATTAATAACACTGGTTCATCCGAAGAACTATACATTTCCCATAACAGCGATAAATCGAACGTAAAATATAGCAGAAAAATGCCTTAGCTGAAAGTGCAGTCATGCACTATAACATTTACATAGCAAAAAAAGGAAATAAATTGATTCATGCAACATGCATCAAACTGCTTATGTCATTTCATAAAGAAAATATATATCTCTTGCTTATAAAGCAAAGTAATAAAGACGCTTCATATCCAGAAGCAATTCTTCTTTACAAACAGAAGATCCCGTTCTTTTAAATTTGAACAAGTAGCTCAGTAATTCTTTAACCAATATGGTCTTTCTACTGATATATCTGCATTATTATAGTTAAAAAAAAGTTGTAAATCAATCAATGAAGCTTTATGCAATATGCATAAAATTATTTTCTATCTTAACATAAAAGAATATGCTGCCATTTCCACTGGAAATGTAGACAAACAAGAAAACAGACACATCATAGAAGCTCAGTTCAAACAGAATGAAAAGTCCTCAACATCTCTCACACCAGTCATCTTTGACTGAAGTTATCTCCTCATACATCCAAAAGAAACTTCAGTCAGAAGGTTTCTACCAAGGTCTCCACAGAATTTTAGGATCTTCCTCCTCATCTTTGATGGTCTGGATGGTGGAGTTCAGAACAATGTTAGTTTTTCATCAAAACCAGCCTCAACATGTAGAGTTTCTTCTCTGCTGCTGGTTCTGTTCCATCCTCTGTGTGAGGAAGCAAACTATCATCTCTAGGATGTCTGCTTTCTCCATCTCAGGGTCTGGCTGCTGTTTTAGGAGCTCTGGACCAAGGAGAGCCTTGATCTGCCAATGGAGCTGTCAATTCTCTCAGTGTAGTTTCTCCACCAGAGGCTTTCTGAGCTGCAGGATCAAGAGGAAAGTCATTAGCAAAGTTAATACTGAATGTACTGTTTCTTTTCATAGAAAAACATCTTAGAATAATAACAGGCTTTCTGAGAATTTAACTTACCTTGTGGTTCAGAGTCAGATGCTTCTGAGGGTTGGTCATTGCTGAAGTTATTGAAGGAGCCATGGTTGAGTCTCAGTCATGTTAAGGTCTCTGTAGAGAGAATCTGATCTCCACTGGCTTCATCCCTCCTATTTATAGCCCCACATCTCCATATAAATATGTGGGTTTTGGTCTGGACCAAGTTTCTCACAGTCTGAGCCAATCAGATGACTTTGTGACAACCAGGCATGTGGAGCAGCAGCACGCTTCTATTCAGCCATTGTGGATAATTGTTAGGTCTCAAGGGAGCAGGTGGAGACCTGCTGGAGGATACAGACAACTACAGAGAGCCTTG